TTTTCCCTTTTAAAACAATCCGTTGGTTGCTCTAGCAGGTGTTTCACAGCTGCCACTAATAATACGCTGCTTCTCTAATACTCTTGTCCTCCGCAGGTGTTCCACATCTGTCAGGCAGATGGCAGGAGCGACTCTTTCCTGTGTCCCAACGGTACCATCTTCAACCAGCAGTACTTCGTGTGTGACTGGTGGTACAACTTCGACTGTTCTACCGCCCAGCAGTTCTATGGTCTCAATGCTCTGATTGGTGTTACCAATGGCAATGGTTATTCAAATGGCATTGGGCTTACCAATGGTAATGGTAACGGATACACTAATGGCAATGGACTCACCAATGGAAATGGTAATGGATACACTGATGGCAATGGACTCACCAATGGCAATGGCCTCACCAATGGCAATGGTAATGGATACACTAATGGCAATGGACTCACCAATGGCAATGGCCTCACCAATGGCAATGGCCTCACCAATGGCAATGGTAATGGATACACTAATGGCAATGGACTCACCAATGGCAATGGACTCACCAATGGCAATGGACTCACCAATGGCAATGGCTTCACCAATGGTAATGGTAATGGATACACTAATGGCAATGGTAATGGATACACTAATGGCAATGGGCTCACCAATGGCAATGGTCTCACCCATGGGAATGGTAATGGATACTCTAATGGCAATGGACTTACCAATGGTAATGGATACTTTAATGGCAATGGGCTAACCAATGGTAATGGATACTCTAATGGCAATGGGCTAACCAATGGCAATGGTAATGGATACTCTAATGGCAATGGGCTAACCAATGGCAATGGTAATGGATACTCTAATGGCAATGGGCTAACCAATGGCAATGGTAATGGACACTCTAATGACAATGGGCTAACCAATGGTAATGGGCACAGCAACGGAAATGGTTATTCAAATGGGAATGGTATTACAAATGGTAATGGAAATGGCATAAACGGAAATGGCTACACGTACGGAAACGGAATTAATGGCAATGGCGTTCAGACCAGTGGAAATGGCTATACTAACGGTAATGGCATTAAGGCTAACGGAAATAGCTACACAAACGGCAATGGAGGAAATGGCAACGGAAACGGAAGTAATGGTAACGGATATGGTCACACTAATGGGAACGGAAGTAATAGCAATGGAAATGGCTATGCTAACGGGAACGGAAGTAATGGTAACGAAAATGGTAATCGTGTTAATGGAAATGGACACACAAATGGTAATGGGTACAACTACCTAGCTCCAACGTAAATACTGTGACCTTCACTCTCAAGTTTCTGTCTCTGGAACATGTGAAGCTGCGAAGTGTCCACACTTGTGTCTCCATGAACTGTAGAAGAGACTGAACAGGGTTTTATCTGCCCTTTAACAGCTGTTCTCTTCAACATCTGACTTTATCTGTCTGTCTGTCTGTCTCGCCACTGTTAAAACAGCCAGGTTGTGTGATACTTGAGGTTCCTCAGATTGCTGAATGGAACCTCAGTGGTACTTCATCTTGTAAGGAAAGCTCTCTCTGTCTGTCTCTGTCTGTCTCTATCTGTTTCTCTGTCTCTGTCTCTATCTCTCTCTCTCTTACTTTTTAATATAGATTTGCCTCTATTAAATATCCATTATTAAATATTAGCATTACACCATTTAAACTGTGTAACTTCACAGAAATCAGTATGTATAAAAATCCACATAATTCAATATTTACCTTCAATTTATAGTTAACATTTATATTATCTTTATTCTCTATAAATCCATGACATTTGTTTTATCACTTATCTCAAAAACAGCCCACTAAATTTTATTTTTCAGATCATTATCATCTTTTCTTGTGTTTCCCAAACCTGTTCTTCTTTCTGCACCTCGCCCTATTTATTATTAATAATGATGGTAGGAACTCAGAGTGAATAATATATTATGTTTTTATGAGATTTTTCTCCTGTGCAAAGTACTAAGTATACTTGTGCCATATGCTTTTCATATATGTTAATTAAATATATCGATTTATTTTTTACATAAGTTATATATCAAGAAAAATATTAAAAATACATGCACTTATATTTTTTGCATTATCCTATATTTGCAGTCTATTTAGAGATCCCATTAGCAACGAATTATGAAAAGATATTCTGACCATTAATTTTGAAATATTAAGATAAAATATCTTTATTAGGTCTGAGTCATTAAAATGTGACCATTAATTATAGCACAATTTTTCTTATATACATGAAATATTTATATATAATGAGCAGAAGACCTGAATAACTGAAACGGATTTAATGCTATTTTTTCTAGGAATAGAACAATACATTGATAAAGAAAATATGTATGATATTGTTATTAGTTGATTTTTGTGTTATTGGTGGCGGTCCTCCTCTGACACCTCTGTGAGGAATTTGCCTTTTGCCTTTAGCCATTTTCAGCGAGTAGTCAGGTAACGAAAGTCAAGAGTGAGTCACAGTGAACTGTGTCAACATCAGAGTTAAGTTTTCTGCTGATCAGTCGTGGTGCAGTGCTATCACATCTCCCCCAAGATTTATTTTATAAGATTAATATATTAACAGCTGTTCCGTGAGGTGGCTACGTGTTATTATTTACAAAGAATAATGAATAACCAAGTCCATGATTCGTGCCTCCTTTAAATTAACAAAGATTCTTTCGTTTTTGTTACCTTATAATATTAAATAATCTCAAATATTTACTGCATCGAAAATATAGAATTTTAAAATTCAGCATTTGCAGGACACTGATGTAAGATGGTATACATATTAATATTGTAATCATTTAAGGAGTAAAGAAGAGAGCATTTATGACAATATTCTTAAGTGCTTTAAGAATTTGCATCTCAGAATTCCTCAGTGAAGAATTCAACAAAACCTTTAATTCAGTGGAGAAATTAAGATGTTCTAAATCTAATGATTTCATTGAGACATTATTATTATCTCATGATAAAGCGCTACTTAAACTACTCAGCTAAATATACAGAATAATCCTTAAATAATACTTTGCCATTACCTTACAATAAAAACCTGACCTTGCTACCCAAATACCTAAAATGTTTTATTGTAAGAATGGTCTGTCGAAATGAGCCAAAAAAAAAAAACCGTAATTTAAAATTTCCAGTTACACAAGGCTGTGTGTATTATATCACAGAATGTCCAGAGTTTTGCCTAAGACACAGGTAAAAGAAAAACTCGAGGCTCAGTTAAGCCAACATCTTTACTCAATCCAGAGTGAACAAATATGTAATGCTCTGTTTACACATTTGAGAACTAATAACCACCCAGTTGAACAGTTGAGTGAGAAAGCCATATCAGACAGCTCACTGTTCACATAAAATATATTAGAGTAATCCCTTATCAAACATGAAATTTACTCTGGTAAAATAAAGCAAAGTTGAGGAAGTTATCAAGTGGATAATTACATGAACACAAACATTACTTACAACCTGATCCTCGACGTATTATCGACAGAAAACAAAAACTGTATTCATTACACTAATTAAATACACGAGATGTCTAGCTCCATCCATAACATTTTATGTTGGGTTTGAGCAAAATAATAAATTACTAAATGTATGAAAATCAATCTATATCCGTTTCTATCCATACTATTATTTCTCGCATCATGACGGAGTTAGTATTCAGTTTGCTTCTCTTCGTTCTTGAGAGCTCTGACTATGTGAAATATTTCATTCGTTTCTGTGAGGTGTGAGCATTCTTACACGAAAATGCAGTTTTTCATATACCATAGTGTAATTACAGCAACAACAATTACCCTGGCTGATGCAATGAGTGTAACTGGCCACTATCAAATAGCCCTCAACCCCCTATCCTCCTCCGATATCAAGGTTTTAGATTTCGTTTTGTGAGATTTGTGAAGGGTTATGTTTTCCAGATGCAATAAGCTTGTATTACAGCATTCCGTGCTGATAAATGATGGCATCGGACAACAACTCTCACGGGACTCGTTCATTACGTTGACTAATACAATTAGAAGTGAACATGTTGAGGCTGCATAAATCAGACAACCGAAAAGCTGTATTGAAAATCAATTAGTTTGTCTATCATATGCACTAACATTTAAAAAATTTCATATTACAATTTTGTTTAAAAAAAAAAATAAATCGAACATGGACTTTATAGGCACATTATCTTGCTTAATTCTTCTACATTGCCACTCCATCTCCATAAATCCTTGTTTCATTCTTGGAATTATGCCTCTTTTTCCAAATCACCATCAAGGTTTTTTCTTCTATATTTTTCACCATCTTTTTCACATTACATATTGATCTCAAGCAGAGGATATTTGCACTGTCTTTAGCCTCCTTCCCTCGGAAAATTCAAAGACCATGATTTACACTCATACAATTATACTGCCACAATTATACTGACAGTCTACTTTTCGTGTCCAGTTTCAAAGTTCTATTTTTTCCACATTTTCATAAGTTTCCAGCAATTTCATCTTCCTCATTCATTTGTTGTTTACCTCATACTTCTTGAACCCATCTGGTTCATCCATTCTCAGGTATGTATTGTAAACACTTTTACTTGCTCAGTTGTAATAACTCCAATTTCATATAAGATTTATATTATACAATCACGAATATGAATACACTCGCACCATCAGCTGTTTTCAGTCTGCTGATCAGGACCTCAGCATTAGGCCCTGGATTCGCATGTGCCTTTGCTAGTGATTACTATACAGTTGTGTTTGGATATTCCCTAAAATTCATTCAGTGTTTCAGTAGTCCCTTTCCATTTATATTTATACAAAGGATAAACATTGTCAATTTCCTTACAACATCACTTCCGACTCTTCGCTCATTGCTTTTTCCTTGTCCCATTGCATTAGGGGCTCTTAATCTGGGCCCATGGTCCACCGGTGGGCTCATGACGGGCCAGTAGAGAGGCCTATAAAAAATGAAATGCATAATTAGCGAAAATTCAAGACCTATCTTGGGAAATTCTACAACAAATTGGTCTAAGTAAATCACCTTGTTGGACATGCTACTCGTATAGTCACTCTACTGCCGATTGCCACGTGAAGATTAAGAAGATATGCTCCACCTGTGGGTCTGCAGATCACGACTTTCGCTCCTGCACTTCCACTGCTGCTCCCACCTGCATCAACTGTAAGAGTGATCACCATACTCTTGCAGCCAAATGTCCAGTACGCAAGGATATCCTCTCTAAGAAACTGAAAGAAGAAACTAAGAAGTCTACAGGAAATTCTCCTACTTATGCTGCTATAGCTAAGCTTCAGACGACCACCACCAAGATTCTACAAGCCACTCAGCAACCTCCACCACTCACCGCCTCTCCTCTACCACACGATATTTCCACAAAATTCTACTACTGCCTGATGTATGCACACATGCAAAATGCAGCTAACCCGGGTTGTTTTAATACAACAAAATGAATGATATTCTTGCCCTCACAATCTGCCATCATTCAACTTCCCAGCTAGTCCTGCTTCAGCCGATGTTTTGAAGATTATCCCAAAAATCGTCCGTTTCGAGGCACCAATAAACTTGCAAGATTTGATTCCTGCAGAAGCCACCTGCTCTAACTTCGCAATCCACCAATGAGAGACCACCACCTCCTCCAGCCACCGCCACTGCCAAGAAAACCCAAACAGAGCCTTCACTGCCTCACGTGCCTCCACCTTCCTCCACCAATGAGAAACCGCCTCCAACGCCAGCCACCACATCTATCAAAACACGACAGCGTCGTCGTCTTCCAACACCCCAAAACTGACCAATCATCGACTTCACTTGTCTCTCACTCTAAGGATAAGCAACACTATAATAAGATACGTGGAGTCGCTTTCCACACTACTCCTGAGTATCCTAAAGAAATGGATGCACAGACATTGATCCCCCTCTGCCAGAGCGAAGAAGTCAAGTACGTCTGTAGTCCATCACGTTTTCTCTTCCTTAGAGAACTCATCAATCTCCTTAGTGCTCCAGAGATCGACCCTAACAGCAAATTTAGACTCATGCACATGCCAATACCGAAGTTCCAGACTCTTCTTAAAGGGGACAGTAGCCTAACAAGCCTCAAGCCGACCACCACCAACACAACTCATCCTGCTTGCTGCCTTCTGACACCTCCGGCTCCTGCCGCCGCCTTTGCCATCCTCTCCTAGTGAGCCAAGTACCGACATCATTCAAGCCTCTCCATCTACGCCTCCAGTACTTATGTACCACATGTCATAAAGTGGTTGGGCCACTTGCCTTGTTTCCTCCCCTCTCTCCTCCTTCCCATCCCCTTTTTTAGTATTTCCATCCTTCCTCATCCTCTTCCTTCCCATCTTACACAGCTCTGGTCGTCTTTCCCCGCGAAAAAATCCCGGCCTCAATCTCATTTAACATGCAAATGGATAAGATCAATGAAAAGGGTAAAGAGATCTCCTTCAAATATATCAGTGATTCAATGTTTACTTCCCTAGATAACTAATTT